CTCTCGCGCCCCCTGCGCGCCTTGCCGCCCCGGCGCCCCGGAACCCGCGAGCGCTTTCGGTCTCCCTCCATCAGTTCACTCGTTTCTGATTTCTCCTTCCCCTTCCTGTTCCCAGGCCTTCGAAGTCTTTTTCAGGAGCCCCCTTTCCAGCACCCATCTCTTTTCCTCGGTTCTCTTCCTTCCGTCTCTCCCTTCGTCCTTATCTGGATCCATACACTCATTCTCTCTCTCCCTCTTTGTCTCTTTGTGCCTCTTTGTTTCCGCCTCTTTCTGTTTCTTGGTGGCTTCTTCCCCGCCTCTGGCTGTGGCTTCCTGGGATGGTTCGGAGGAATGAGGGATTTAGCGCCTTCCTGGTGGCCCTTTCTCCTGCCTACTTGGCGAGGGCCGGGGAGAGGGAACTGGGCTGCGGGCAGAACTCCTGTGAATGCAGGCGGGAGCTGAGCGCGGGAGGTCCAGGGAGCCCAGGAGACTACAGGAGGGAGTGTGTGTGTGTGTGTGTGCGCGCTGGGGGGCAGGGGAGACCTGGGTGCAGTGGGAATCGGGGTTCTCAGAGGCCTCCAAGGCTTCTGAATTATTTTCAGTGCTGAAAGGAATTCCTGGCCCAGGACCAGGATGATGGCCTTGGGACCCTGATGGGAAATGGCTTGGCCCCCTCCTCTCTAGTCCTTGGGGACAGGATTGGGGAGGCTGGTCTAAGACAAAGGGATTCCAGGTGGCTGAGGGTGGGGACCTTCCGTGTAGAGACGGTGAGGTATAAAGGGTTGGGAGCTCAGCCTGGGATCCCAGAAACCCAGTTTTTGCACTTGGCTGACACTGACAACCTTATGCACAACCCTCCTTCTCTCTGAGCATCAGTTCACCCACTTGTAAAACAAGTGTAGTGTAGCTGGGAGTGGTGGCGCACGCCTGTAATCCCAGCACTTGGGAGGCTGAGGCAGGAGGATCACAAATTTGAGCCCATCCTGGGCAATTCAGTGACTTGCCAAGAACTTGTTTTAAAATTAAAAAATCAAAAAGGTGTGAGGATGTAACTCAGTGAAAAGGCCCTGGATTCAATCCTCAGTACTGAAATAAAAGGAAAAAAAAAGAGGAAAAAAGATGTTTGTTTAATCAGTTGTCCTCAGCCTTTTATTCCGCCCACAGATCCCAAGATCTGATTTATTCCAAATGCACTGCTTACATTATTTAATCTGCTTTCTCATTTTTATTTATGAAAGACAAGCATTCAGTCAAAGTTTCTGATTAGCATGATTCATTACCATGCAGAGCCGGTCTATTTCAAAGAGCAAAGATACTCCAGACAGATCCTCAACCCTAGCCAATGATATCCCAAAGCTCTTGGGGTTTTAGTTGTCTGGGCAGCAAGATGGCGTGGAAGAGTACAGACTCTGGAGTGAACTTGGGTTTGAGTCCTGAACCTGCTAATGTTCAGCTGTGACCTAAGGGAGGGTGCATCCTTGCTTGGTTTCCTTACTCATAAAAAGGAGACTTCGTTCATAATATTCATCCCACTGATTTGTGGTGAGCACTGAATCAGACAAGAGATACAAAAGTAGAAGAAATGCATTCTCAATAAATACTGACCATCAGGATATTGACGCTCTTACATCAGCACTGCCGAGGAAATCTATAATGCAAACCACAGATGTGAACCACGTGTGTAATTTTCTTTTTTCTTTCTTTCTTTTTTTTTTTTTTGTGGTACTGGGGATTGAACTTGAGCCTTTGCACTTGTGAGGCTGGCGGCAGAACCACTGAGCCACATCTCCAGCCCTACATGTGTAATTTTCAATTTGGGAGGAACCACATTAAGAAAAGGACAGTACAATTCATTTCAATACTATATTTTACATGTATACATATACATATATATATATATAAAACATTATTCCAATATGCAATTAATATGAAAAGCTATTATTTTTATATTTTTGCATAGTAGGTCATCAAAGTCTGGTGTGCACTTTGTAATTCAGCATATCTCAGTTTGGACTAGCCATATTTCAAGTGCTCGGTAGCACAAACAATGCTAAGAAAGTTAAGGTAGGCATTAGACAGGAGAGGAGCCAAGGCTTGAAGCCAGCTGAGATTGTATTGCCTGAAGAGAAGGCAAGTGGACAGAACACAGAAGGCAGACAATGAAAGGTGGAAAGGCCTGAGCTTTCACCTGGGCAGAAGCAGGGGTACAGGGGGCAGGGGTTAGGTTTCAGCCAAGACTGCAGAAGTAAATGAAGGTGGGGTATCTGGTGAACTCTGATTGCCAGGCTAAAAAGCATTAAACATGTAAGTATGCTTCTTAGGTGGGAGGGGAGAAGGTAGCCAAATAAATCAGAGTGAACGTCTTTGAGATCTACTTTATTCAGGAAATTAGGCAACAGCACCCTGGGTCCTATAGTTATGCTCGATTCTATTGAAGCCTCTGTTAGTACTGGCTACCATGAACTGAGGGTTTATGATGGCCAGACACTAAGCACAGATCTTCGTGTTACTTTTCTCAACAAACTCAGGCAGTGCTGATGAGAATATAAAACTTTGGAAAATAGTTTGGAATTTCTTAAAAGTTAATCTGGGTATGATGGTACATGCTTGTAATTCTAGCTCACTGTGAGGCTGAGGTAGAAAGATCATAGATTCGAGCCCAGCCTGGGCTATTTAGCAACTTAGAGAGTTCCTGTCTCAAAAATTTGAAAAAGGAACAGAGGTTGGGAATATAGCTAGGTCTGGATGCCCAGTACCTCTAATACATAAACAAACAAATAAATAAAAAGTTAAGTCTGCCGGGTTTGGTGGCGCATGCCTGTAATCCCAGCACTCAGGAGGCTGAGGCAGGAGGATCACTGTGAGTTCAAGACCAGCCTGGGCTACATAGTGAGTTCCAGGTCAATCTCAACTACATAATGAGACCCTGTCTCAAAAAAACAAACAAACAAAAAATCGAAGTCTAAATTTACCATATAATCCAGCAAGCTTCCCCTGAGGTGACCCCCCCCAAGAACAATGGCACATGTCTACCCAAAGACTTGTGTAGGGGTGTGTATAGCAGTGTTGTTCACAATCACCGAAAAGTGGAAAGGACTCCAGTGTTCACCAATGGATGACTGAATCAACAAAGTACAGGATAACCTCACAACAGAATATTATTCAGCCATAAAAAGGAGTGAACTGTAGAAGTAGGCAACATCATGGATGGACCTCAAAAATATGATGCTCGGGCCGGGGATTTAGGGCAGCAACACCGCAGCTGCCTTGCAAGAGCAAGGTCCTGAGTTTGCATCCTGTTACAAAGAAAAAAAAAATTATGCTAAGTGAAAGGAGCAACACTTAAAGGACCACATAACATGTGGCTCCATTTATATGACATTTCTATAAAAGGCAAATCTAGAAAGACAAGAACTGGATTAATGGTTGCCCAGAACTAAGAAAGGGTAAGAGGATGATTGCTAAGGTGTGTAAAGTGTGTGTGGGTGGGAGGGGGGGTGTTTGCATAACTCTGTAAGTATGCTAAAGATCACTGAATTGTATGTACACCTAAAGAGATTAGATTTTTATGATACATAACTTGTAGTTCAATAAAACTCTTTTTTATTTTCTTGGTACCAGGGATCAAACTTGGTCACTTGTACTGAGTCAAATCCCCAGCCCTTCAATAAAACTCTTTAAAAAAATAAAAAAAGACATAATACAGGTGCATTGGTGCAACCTCCTGTAGTTCCAACTCTTTGGAAGGCAAGGCAGGTAGATTACTTGAACCCTGGAGTTTGGGACCAGACCGGGCACTATGAGAGCCTATCTCCATAGGGAAAGTAATTCTTCCAACAATTCTTGGGATGAGTGCTGTTATTACCCCATGCATATCTCAGCAAGGTGGGCTCCCCGCAACACCCTGTGCCCCTGACTTATGGGTTCTCCATCCCCTGAGAATTGCTGGCAGAGCCCTCTGCATGTTGGGGCCTTTAACTCCCAAGTTGGGTGCCAGGCATGTTTGCAAATCCCACCAGCTGCTTCCTAGAGGCCTGGGGTAAGTCTGGGGGCTGGGAAGCCTCCCATGAGAAAGCCAGAAGCTGGGTTTGCAGCAAGTTTCACGCT